TTTCTCCCACAACAACACAAGCGGGTTTTCTCACTTCTGTCTCGTTAGATAAACCTGCTTAGAGTTGGTAAACATTTTTGGAAACTAACTAGTTGGTAACACTCTGGACGTGATTTAAGTAATCAGTCTTCTAATTATGACGTCAAGTAACAATGGTTTTCGATGTCATATCCCATTGTGACGTCATGCGCCATGGTAATTGTTTCCCGATCGGAAAACAGTAATAATGAACAAATGAAAAGACACTGGGTAAACCATTTGTCTGTATTCAATTTGAAAATTACCTTTACTCGAATTAGATGAACATGATTACCAATCATTTATCTTTAGGGAAATTTCATTTACACCGCATCAGCGGTAAGACAGTGATATGTTCAACCGGAAATCAAACTCAGTTGGTAAAAAGATAAAAGACAAGTATATTTCAATGATAATACGAATATATATAATGCACTGTAGTTAATAATTACATTCCCTAATCTCAATAGGTAAAAACGGTAAATAACAGCTGTTGTCACTGACAACCGTAATCAGATTCCAGTAGGCGTTTTCATGCTGTTTGACTCTCCCCCTATTCTTTCTCTCACTCCTTCCCCTATTCCTACATCCCTCCTTAAGTATCATTATTAAAGACCCACTCTTGTTAAAAGCCTTTCTTTTCTCCGGCAGACTAGCTTTTGAAAGGCATATATTATTTTGGGAGGAAAATATGAGAAAATTGAAAATGTAATGAAAAATATAAATGTATTTTAACAAAAATGCACGAAAACTCTATACAATATCTTCCCATTGTGTTTTCAGAAAAAAATGTATATCATTTTAAGTTATGGAAATGCAATTTCTTTAAACCAAACTTTCTTCTCAGAAAAAAACAATTTACGTTGCCCTTACCCCTTCTTTTTTTAGTTCTTCCTTCTTTTTGCCATCATGGCTTCTTTTTACTGTGCTTTAACTATTGGGGGAACAAAAGTCAAAAGGACTTCAGTTAGTCCGAATTACTCTGAAGTTTTATCGACTTTTTTTCATATCGGTCTGTCGTCGATTAACGTCAGAACTCCGTCCCTCTATAATATGCGGGAAATATGCGACCCGCGCCCGGAGCGCACTCCAAACTGCGAAAGATCTATTCTTTATGCACAAGGTGAACATACATAACATGCCTCAAACAACCAATACAATTACTAAAAACATATTTTTTCAAACTTACTCTGTTTTACTCTAGTTTTTTGATAGCCCCGCCTTCTAATGCCACGTGACTAAAATATCGCCGGCCTACGTCATAACGTTTTGAAATACCTTCGGTAACGCGAGATCTCGTCAAGTCATGTGACATATTGCTCATGGCCTAATTTCCATTAAAAACATGGGTTGGTATAGAAAACGTTGGAAAATACTTTTCGTTATGATCTTTGAAACATGTTATTGATACCACCTAGTGCATAAAGAATAGATATTTCGATCCATGTGCGACATGTGTGTGAAAGTGACGATTTGTTTCTAAAATATCAGTTTGAAATGCGCTCTGGGCGCGGGTCGCATATTTCCCGCATATTATAGAGGGCCAGAGTTCTGACGACAAACCGATATGAAAAAAGTCGATAAAACGTCAGAATAATTCGGACTAGACTTCAGTTGACCAAACTAAGTAATAAAATACAACATTGTTAAAGGGCCTGTTTCCAGTAATGTTAATTCTCCATAGGAGCCTGCCCCCGTATAATTTCTTATCTAGCTCAACTACTGTTTTTTTCTTTTCCGAAGAATAATTTTACACCTTTCCGACACCCAGATTTCATAATTTCAGTGAAAATGTATTTTTATAAAGTTGTCAATTTCAGCATCAAAGACATAAGTTCGTAAATAAAAGAAGGTTATCTCGAAATTGTAATTCGCAACATAGTATAAATTTCTTTTGATAAATATTTCNAAGCCTCTGGCCTCAATGCTAGCATGCCGTCATACCTGAAACCCGGTCAAAGTCAACATTCTGACGTCCAAGCAAATCTTGACAGAACTATCACCAAATCGAGGTGGATTGTGGAATCCTATCATGGTCGTCTGAAACACTGGACGTTCTTCCGAACGCAATTGGTGTCTAACAGCTTTATCAATGTCATCGAGGCTTTGCTTCGAACCGTCACAGCCTGTCTGAATGGTATTAGAGGACCGATCTACCAGAGATCTCCAGAGAGAGATGCCAAAGATAGGCTAATGGCTGAACGTATGAAGGACCGTTTGACAACACCGAATGGTTTAGCTCAGAGAGTCAAGACAGATCCGGATCTATCTAGACGGGCAAGGTCCGAGTTTGTCAAGATGGATGCATCTTCCGTACTGTTTCCCCGTCTCGATCTTGATTACTTGAGAACCATTACGTGTGGAACGTATCAGATATCTCTGGCTCCTGGTTACATCGCCGAACATTTAAGTGATGACGGAGACTATGAGGTGTGGCTTTACCAGCACTCCCCAGACCTTCTCCGATGTCAAATACATTCTCGACACAAAAGCCAAACGAAATATAACGTTTGGATACGGTTCACCGTTTCACCCGATGTTGAGGCCCCAATAAAGGACTACTACTGCCAGTGCCCAGTTGGAGAGAGAACGATGGGAATGTGTGCGCACATCTCCAGTATCTTGTACTACCTTGGGTATTACAGGACGCTGGAAAACCCTCGACCATTACAACCACAGGTAAAGAAATTCCGACAAAACTTGAAATAGTTTTCCATGCGGCAACGGAGTGCATATGTCGAAAGTATGTTTGGGGCTCGATATGAAAGATCCCCGTTACCATGTGACTAACCAAACTTATAAATATAGGTATTATACAATCGCCCGTAGCTATGAACACTCCCGTAAATGCGAAAACCAACCAAAATCATAAGGAACACGTTTTGTTTGTTGTTCTGTCTATTTGTCAGCCAATGTCTTCAACCACGGGGACTTGTGAAGTAGCCATCTTGGATTTTTTTTATGAAAAAGTGTTTCTCTCACTTTTTTTCATATCTGTGTACATATTCTCAACATACCGAGCAAATACTCTCGTTTTTTTGTTAATTATCTAAAGAAAGTCGAAAATCGGCAATTCAACCATAGGCTAATTCAACCCAACATTTGAAAATGTTCCACCACTTACATTTTGATGATTTTTCCTCTCATCAATAGCATATTACGTACTGTTTAATAGGATAAAAATTGGTTTGCATCCAACGCCCATAAAAGGGTGTATTCTCTAAAAAACACAGTTTTTGTGTCTAAAATGTTATCATCGAAAATGGCATTTTTGAGATTGTTTCTTCCATAAAACAGCCAAATGGCGCGATGGAAACATGATTTTTTGTCACAATCATGCCATGAATGTATTCTTTACGGTGACCATCATTTGATTAGATTTTCATTAATATTTTACATAACATGCACATTTTATCAACACTTAGACAGCTTCTGAAAGGTACAACTTTGAGGAGCCATAAAAAACAAACCAAGTGACCTAAATCTTTATACTTTATAGATTTGTGACCACAACGGCATGGGCAATGCACCACCAACAGGAAATTTGAATCAGAGAAGGGGCCGTTTTGGAAACCGGCCCTTTTACTCTTATTCATTTTTCATAATATTGATAATCTTAAACTTGAACAACCAACATCAAATTTCTGTTATTAAAAATGAGATAAATCACATTTTTTTAAAAACAGTTAAAGTTTAGCAATCTCAACGCAGAGTTACGGTCCTTGCTCTCCCTTCCTAGACCTCAGACTTTGTACTTGGTCTTTTTGGATAATATTCAGAGGAGATATAACCAACACCACAGGATATGTCTTCGGCCTCTGACTGGGGGGTGGGTGCTCGCAAAGAAGTTGTGGCAAAAGATGAAAAATTACACTTTTCCCATAGCCGACAGGTAAACTAACAAGTAAATCACCTCTACTCTCCAAAAAATACTCAAAACATTCCTTTTGTTTCTCTTTTAGCCTTCGTGTCTTGTCGTAACTTGCCAGAATTTCCTCTATTCTATTCATTTTCAAAGCTAATCATCTCTGAGCTAAATAACCACATTTATATTACTACGCTAAACATTACGCTTAAAAATATAGTGCAGTAATATATTCACGCCTTACTACTTGTTAAAAGTCGTTTCAAAAGTGATAGAGCCAAGAAAATATTCCAACATGAAAACAAAAGTCACTAAAGATAACATTATCACGATTTGAGACTAAATTAGGTTTTACAAGAATCTTGTAAAATCTGAGACGTTGACAGAGGTGTGTGTGATTGAAAAGGAACGACAACTCTGGGTAGAGATTGAAAGTTTAGGTTTACGCATAGAGTTTAAAATATTTGCATATTATTTTGATTTTTAAAAAATGCCGTCACATTTTTAACACTTATATTTAACGTTCAACATATAACAGTTACTTGTATCAAATTACTTGACCCGTTTTTCAGATACATGCTTTAGATTGGGCATAAACTGTTAAATTCAAGAAAAACCGCCTAGACTAGATCAAAACAGGACTTAAATGTGATTTAAATCACAGACGAGTTAAGTTTTTAAGACTTCTTTAATTATTCAAAGTACGGAATGTTTGATTGTCTGTTTGTATTTAACGGCACATCAACGACTCTTTCATTATTCAACGTACGGAATGTCTGAAATCTCGGATTATAGAGAACCAGGTAAAATAATTTCTGCTTTAGCTGTCTCTTAGTGATGATGCACATGTATATGTACAGTATATGTAGAGGCAGCAAAAAGAATAGGGGGAAAACCAAATACAGATTTATGTAGAATTGTGATCTCCCAACACTATTTCCTAACAACTTCTATAGTTACAGAATTTGACTATATCACCAAGCCGGATGCACTTTATATCATCCATCACCTCCTTTTTACATTGGACAAGGAGTGTACATACCATCTTATATATATCCACTCGAGCATGATCGCTGCATAAGACATGCTGACCTCTGAACTTTTGTGACTGTCCTGCTTCCTTTTGTGTTTTGTATGTGTGTGTAACATGTCAGTGCAGGATGAAGTTCCCGATAGTTCAGGTACTATTTCTGTGTGTGGGATTTTAAGCTGTAAACAGCTCAGGTAAGTGATTTCTTACAGTAACACTCTTAAGTTAAATATTCTGGTAATGTTCACACTGACTGCCATGTGTTCAGTAACTTAAGATTGTGACGTCAGACGTCGGGGTCGGGGGGAGGGGGCAAACATTTAAAATTCTCTAGATTAATTGAGTAAAGAAAAAACGTTAGTCAATAGAGATGTCTTGAAAAAAATGTAATCGAAGTACATTTATAAGACTTCGCAGACTACAAAACTTGCAGTTATTTATATATTATTAATCGTACAAATCCCACAGGCCCGAACATTTGTACATATATGAGCAATGAATCCCAGAATAACATGAATGAAGAACATGGAAGAAATTATACCTTTCCAAGCGAAACGTAAAGCCTGGACCATGACGTTACACGAGAGATAAATATTTCTTAAACAGTTTTGTTCCCGCGAGGGAAACTTTAGATTCTGTTTCTTCATCCATAGCCTTAAATGACGATGCAGCGAGATACACGATGAATGGGTGGGAAAACAGGATAAGGTGGCTACTGTCAACCAGTTTATTTTATTTTATCTTATCTTTTGGCGCATGTGCAATAAACTATCATCGTTATCAAGCAATTTTGTACCGCGCTTTCCAGGCTCCATCATCAACACCAACGCCACTTCCACTGCGAATAACGACAACCTCATCCTGTATTTTCATCTTTGCTTATGATCACGCTGGCCATACAATGTACGAGTAATAAACTTGCGGTGCGGTAATGTACCTTGCGGCTTAAAGTCATACGTATAATAAACTTGCGGTACGGTAATATATCTTGCGGATTAAAGTTGTCGGGCGGAACGATTGAGAGGTGATACATAATAGTTTTTAGGTCACCCGAGACAAAGTCTCAAGTGACCTATTGCGATCGCCTTTTGTCCGTCGTCGTCCGTCGTCCGTCGTCCGTCGTCCGTCGTGCGTCCGTAAACAATTTACATTTTCGACTTCTTCTCCAAAACCCCTGAACCAATTTCAATGAAATTTTGCAGGGACCTTCCATGGACAAAGGTCAACAAAAA